TCTCAATGTTGAGCAACCTCTGTTTGGCCATGGCATAACTTTTAGGCGAATTTACATTTTCTTCTCGCCATAGCAGACCAAGTTCGTATTGTCTTCGAATGTTTTTTGTTGTTTCAGCAAGAATTTTCTTGGCCCGGGCGTTTGAATCAGATTCGAGCACAATGCCAGCATTTCGTACACCAAAACTGTCGGCAGCAAAATAGTCTTCGACCACCTGATGAAGTACACGTGGCTCGGCGTTGCTTCGTGAATTAGTAGGACCAAATGCGGTCCAACCTAGTTTGGTTAAGGCTGCGACGGGGTTTGTATGGCCCATCCTCTACAATGTGTTCTGTCACCTCAAGGAAACAGTTATCCAAACCCAACAGCAGAACTGGCTTGGCATTATCGTAATTTTTTATCGGCAGCGACTTCAAATGTGAATGATCATCTCGACAGAAAGTTTGTGTTGGCAGATTTAGGCTTTTGTTGGTCGTATGTTCTTTATATCATACGTTGACGACTTCTCCGCATGACCCTTTATGGCCAAGGCTACTTTACGTGACTTCTCTGTTGTCTTCTTGTCGTCATACCATTGCAGTGTGAGTGGTGCGGCGTTTCCTCTAAGGCCTAGGCTGTTGGCTACCTTCTCCTCAAGTAGCGAAATCGATGACCCTTCCTCAAACATGGCGTAAACGGAAATTCTTCATAGTGGACCTGACAAAATAACCGGCAATATCTTGAAAAGCTGTGAAAGAGAGCGTTCTTCACGGCAGTTGAGTATGTGCTCCCTTTCTTCGTTGTTTGGCGTGACTGGCTTCGGAGGCTGCTTGGCCTCAGAATGAAGTAATTGATTATGCAGGCGCACGCATCCATTTATGCCACATGGCTTCTTTTTAAAACAATCGGTCAGGCTGTGTCCAACCTGCAAGCACGAAAAACATAAACGGTTACGTTTTACAAATTTCCACTTATCGTTTATATCCAGAGCAGCAAACTGGCGACAACTGCTCAGTTTGTGACTTTGCTGGCATTGCAAACACGGCATATATGAATTATCAGATGCCATCTATTTGTTGTGCAAAACTCTCTTTGCACCCAACGCGGCATGTTGGCGATTGCTATTGGCATTAGCTTGACGAAAACCCAACGGCGTCGACGGCTGCGAAAAACGTTGAGCATTTGGCGCATGTATTGACATCAGACTCACAACCCTTGCGAGCTCACTGAGCCAAGTCGAAAAGGTCTCCACCGAAGGAAATGGCGAAACGGTGGCAGCAAACTTCGTCCACTCATATTGTTTTGATTGCGGCATTTTGGTTACTAGTTGATCCAAAAGTGTTGTATTCATTAGGTGGTGTTCACATTTGGCAGATTTAAAGAATGCGACAGGCTCAAGGCGGTTCTCATAAATGACTGGAAAATTCTTGACTTTATCCAACTGAACCCGTACACGCATGTCGGGACGTCCAAAATTGAACTGAAGTTCCTCAATGGCTTTAGGCACATCGTTTGGATAGATAAGAAGCGATGTCACAGCATTCTTGGCGTCGCCTTTCAACGCCTTATGCAATCGCATCAAATTTTGTTTGTTGTTATATCCAAATTCAATAGCCGTGTTACCACCATCAGTCGAAGCAACCTGGTCACCGTTACACATTACGATATTATCAACGTTTCTCTGCAAGTTCTTGTATACTCTTACTTAAAACGACATTTTTTGCTATCATATTCTTTTATTGTTCATATCCTTTATATTCTTGTACTTGTAGTATACATACAAAACTATAAAAAGCGGTTCTTAAAAGATCACACCACCTCTCGTTGTGAAAAAGGCGCACTAAATACACGAAATATTTTAAAGCGCTAAAAATCGCTTACTTAGTAAATTGCTGAAATTGTAAAACCGCTAGTTTTGTTAATTGTAATTAACATAGTAAAAACTACACTGAAGAACAATAAACGCTAAATAAAAGTTAAGTCGAAGTAGTGCTATCGAAAATTCGTATTTTTAATCAAGTGTGCTAACAATTCTTTAAAATATTTCTGGCAAAATAACTTCCGCTACTATAATATGCATAGCATAAAAGATACAAGTACGGATTACCATTGCCGAAACTGTAGAGCTAGAGACAATGAGCAAATGGTGCAATGTGACTCCTGCGACCAATGGTTTCACTATAGCTGTGTCGGTGTTGACAGCCAAGTGGCCGATATTAGTTGGAACTGCGAATCATGCGAACACACATCGGTCCAAATGGCAGCAGCTTTTATGGAACCCAATGGGTCGAATAACGGGGGTTCACTTGCTACGGGTCAGCCAAGAGCATCATCGTCACCCGAGGCGGAACATCAAAGTCAACAGGCAATCTTGGGCGCTCTAAGCTCAATACCAGTTCAGTCAACGGTTATGGTTCCATCCATATACACAGCTCCGAGGATGTCGACCACATCGGCAAGTGTACCACCATATTCTACTGCAGCATTGGAAGTGACACTACATGATCAAATACGTTTTCAGTCGTCAAACAGCACGACTGAGTTATATACTTTGTCGAGCGCATCAGGTTATCCCGCAACAATGTATACGCAAAACAGTAAGAACCATTTACTGCCAAACTCTTTTATTCTACAAAAATTGCCGACATCTTCAACCACTTTTCCTTCGCTGCAAACTAACGCAAAAGTTGCAAACTCGTCAATATTTGCAAAGGGTAGTCAAAATTCGGATACATCTGAGCGAATGCGAGCACTGCAGCTAGAACGCCTAGAGGAGGAAATGCGCATTCAAAAAACAGTATTTAGACGACAAGTATAAAATATTAGCACAATTTGGTGAGTTGACGAATTCGGGTGATCGTATACCAATCTTTAACGTGACCCCCACACCAGCACAGCTTGCAGCTAGACACTCTATTCCGAAGCAGTTGCCTATTTTCAGCGGCGACCCAGAGGAATGGCCCCTCTTTATAAGCCAATTTGAGAATAGTACGTCCGTTGCAGGATATTCGAATGTAGAAAATCTTATGCGACTACAGGCATGTCTTAAAGGCAGAGCACGAGATTTAGTAAAAAATAAGTTGCTTCTACCTGCTATGGTGCCGGAGATTATCCAGACCCTACGTATGTGTTGTGGCCGACCTGAACATATTTTGGAACGCGCAATTAATAAGGCCAAAAATATGGCGCCACTTAAAGATAAGTTAGAATCTTTAATTGAGTTCTCCTTATGCGTACAAAATATATGTGCAACAATGGAAGGTTGTAACCTGACTGCACATCTCGTGAATCCATTATTAGTAAAAGAGTTAGTGGATAAGCTGCCAAACAGTTATAAGCTGAGTTGGGCTATGCAGCCAAAAGACGACCGAGTACCTATAGTGAAGATTTTCAGTGACTGGCTGTATAATATCGCCGAGGCAGCAAGCACTGTTGTAGCACCTATGACACACAAATCCGGTGTAAACGTAAATACACACACTCGCGCTGAAGATGTCTCCGACCATAGAAGCGAAACCAATTCACTACCCAGAAAATGCTGTGTATGTAAAACATATGGACATAAGCTGCCACGTTGCGAAGCCTTTAAAGTCTTGCCTCTTAAACGTAAGTGGGAAATAGTCAAGGAACATAGTCTTTGCCGTCAATGTCTGGACTCGCATCGCCGTAAATGTTACGTAAACAAAGAATGTGGTATCACTGGTTGTAAGTACAAGCACCATCAATTATTACACAGAAGCGCATCGCAAACAGTCAACAGCAGCGCAGACAACAACATCAATTCTCGGCAGATTGTTCGCAGCAGCAATATTCCGAGTGATCATGCCAACAGGCAGATGATCGCGCACAGCAGCAGCGCTACAAAAAAATAGCCCATATTTCAGAATAATCCCTGTCAAATTATACTCACATAATAAAGTTATAGAAACATTTGCGTTTCTGGACGAGGGTTCTGCAGTTACGTTAATGGAAAAAAAGTGTGTTCGAACAGATGGAGCTCAAAGGTGTACAGGAGCCTTTATGCTTACGTTGGACCGGTGATACAACCCGCACGGAATATAATTCATTCAAAACCACTGTAGAAATTCCAGGTGTTACGAACGGTCGAAAGTACAAATTGACTGATGCACACACAGTAGAGAGTTTAAGTCTTCCAACACAAACGATCGATGCTGGTGAAATAATGAAAAAATATCCATATTTGACTGGGCTACCAATTGAATCGTACGAAAATGCCAGGCCATCTATTTTGATTGGTACAGACAATTGGAAACTTGCTGTGCCACTTAAAATTCGAGAAGGATCGTGGTTCCAACCTATTGCATCAAAAACCAGACTTGGCTGGACGCTTCAAGGATGTCACGCTAATCAGTCACGTGAGTTTATGGTGAACGTTCACACTTGCGACTGCGAGAAAAGTCTCAGAAGACTGCACGAAGCTGTGAAAAATTATTTCAATTTAGAAGAACCCAAGCCAAAGCAGCTTCTGTCTGCCGACGACAACAAGGCGCTAGCTATTCTAAATGCGTCTTGTAAGAAGGTAAGCAATCGTTATGAAGTTGGATTACTCTGGCGAAACGAAGACGTCGTGCTGCCAGAAAGCTATGGAAATGCATACAAACGGCTAATGTGTCTTGAAAGGAAATTCAACAAAGATCCGCTTCTTAAATCAACAATTCAGCAACAAATAGACAACCTAATTTCGAAGGGGTATGCGAAAAAGTTGTCACCTGCTGAGGCAACAATTCAACCAAGTAAAACTTGGTATCTACCGATATTCACCGTCACGAATCCGAATAAGCCAGGAAAAATACGTCTGGTATGGGACGCGGCCGCAAAAGCGAATGGCGTGTGCCTCAACGATTTTATGTTCCCTGGACCTGACTTGTTGAACTCGCTCGTGGAAGTCCTATTATCCTTTCGAGTAGGGAGAGTAGCAGTGTGTGGTGACGTGGCTGAAATGTTCCACCAAATCAACATTAGGGAAAGCGATATGCACGCTCAAAGATTCTTATGGTGGGACGAAGCCGACAAGCCGCAGCAACCCAGCGTTTATGTAATGCGCGCCCTAACATTTGGCGTAAACTGCGCTCCGTGCATTGCGCATTTTATACGAGACAACAATGCCGAGCAATTCCGACATGAGTTTCCACGGGCAGTTGAAGCGGTGCAGCGTTACCACTATGTCGACGACTTCATCGACAGTGAGCGCGATGAAGAGACTGCGCTCGAACTAGCCAAGCAGGTAAAACGCATTAATGCGAACGCTGGATTTGAGGTGAGAAACTGGGTGTCTAACTCTCACAAGGTTCTACAGCAACTAGCTAGCAACAATCCTATCGAGCCAGCTTTGAAAGAATGGGGTTCCACTACAAAAATCTTAGGTATGTATTGGGAACCTACTCATGATGTTTTCAGATTCAACTGTAAATTTGCAAGACTGCGTCGTAGCGTGCTGACTGAAGAAATTGTTCCTACGAAGCGTGAGATTCTTCAAATCCTGATGTCAATCTTTGACCCCCTAGGATTCCTTTCGGTCCATACCATAGGTCTGAAAATACTTCTGCAGGACGTGTGGCGTTCCGACATTGGTTGGGACGAACTCTCAGCGACGCATTGTACGATAAATGGGAGTTGTGGAAGTCGAATATTCCTCTCATAATGGATGTAAAAGTTCCTCGTTGCTACTCGACCATACTCCATAGTTCTGATAACGTCCAGCTTCACACGTTCGTGGAC